TGTTCAATCTGGATGCTTGTTTGTAAAAAAAAATATATAAAATAAAATAAATACTTGTGTGTTTTCAGCCGAAAGAAATAAGCAGCCTATGCCAGAGTCATCAGGAGCTCATCAGGCATATCTCCCAAATTACCTGTGAGCTGTCCATGTGTTGATGTTCTGTACAGAATGTGCTACAGCTGGCTGATGTACTTGTGATACTGTTGTCTTGGAAAAACGCTGCAAGCTCAGCATAACGTTGGTGTTTTCCTGTCAGCTCCTGCCTGCGGTCCTGGCTGGAACAAGATACATCTTGCCCCACCTGCCGAATGTCTCTTAACATCACTGACAGCCATCGTGCGAGGGAGGATCACCAAAGGGAAAACCTGGAGGAGAATCTGGTCCCTGTGGCAGTAGCAGAAGGCAGACCACGCTTGAACCAGCACAATCACTTCTTTCACTTTGATGGTGAGCTGAGCAGATTTGACATCTGATGCTGTTGCTGAAATAAATGAAGGGAAACAGCCTTTTGTAGAAGGGAGTTCTGTCCGTGCTTGAGTTGAGGCTTCAGCTGTGCTTGTGTTTGTATTTCTCAAACACACACATGTTACTGACAGTTCTTTAGCACAAGCTCTGCTCAGTGTCTCTGAGGTTGTCCAGAGCTGCAGAGGTTTCTTGTAAGGTTCTGTGCAAGTGCTCCCTTTTTCTTGTTTTGTGGTGGTTAGAGAATCCGAGAGGAAAAAAACCTGTGTGGTGCAGTCTGAAAGTTGTTCTTTCTCCCATCCCTCGCTAATGTGAGGTTGTCAAACATCTATTTGCCACTCAATTTGCAAGAAGCTTGCAGTGCTTGATCAGGTGCAGAAGTCTGCAGAAGCTTATTCTTAGAAGGAATCATGTAACTGAAGCAGTTTTACATGCTGTGGGTTTTTTTTTTAGTGCTGTGTTGTAAGTACTCAGAAAGTAGATGTGATTTCAGGCCATGATGAGTTGTGTGTGTACAGACAGACTTGTTCTGAAAGAGATAATTTCTGTTGCTTATCTTCCAGATTTTTTTTTATAGTTTTGGTATTGTTGTGTGCTTGTCTTCCACGGCTTCCCAGATTTTTAATGGCAGTCTTGTTCCTCAGTAGACTCCAGTAGTGTAAATACTCAGCTTTGGACTCTGTCCTTGTGGAACTTCCATCATGTAGCTGAGATGCTGCAAACTTATAGTGACCTGTTCTTTTTGCTCGTTTTGCAATCTTTGGAGATTGTCAGAGGAGAATAATGGACAGAGAAGGGTCAGACATTTCTAGGTACCCTCAGACCAGCTGATAGGTTCTTGCATGGTTTCCACTTTTGGGGTACTTTAGGTCTCCAAAAGACATCTACCTTTAGAATACCACTGTGTGTTTTGATAACTGTCCTCCCCGGTGCTCTCCTGTGGTTTGGAAACCCACAAAATTACTGTGGAGATAGAAGGAGAAGTGGCATAGAACAAACCCTGCCTTTATTTAAATGGAAACACAGAAAGAGGAGGGAGACAGCCATGTGCCCTACTCTGTTGAGCCTACGGACACAATTGCAGCAGCAGTCATTTTGTTTGGTTGCTCTGTGTCTCTTTGTAGTATTGTTTTCTCGGTGCTGCCAGCCATGTAGAGCTGACCCATTTTGGGACCACATTCAGCCTGTTTAGAAGCTGGCCTGTTTTTAGTAAAATGGCTGGAGTTATTATTATATTCCAGAACTGAATTTAGCTCTGGATTATTTTAATTTTTCCTTTAATGGGAATATTAAAACAAGAAAACAAGGATGTGTTGCTTTCTTGATCTTCTTCTGGCCCTCAGATTGGTAAGCTACTATGACAGTGTTTGGAGAGAGTATCAGCTGTTACTGATTTACTCCAACTATCTCCATGTTTGGGAGACCTTAGGGGTGGATTGCACTGCAGAACTCCCCGTTATGTATCTTGTGGAAATACAAAGACTTACATTAGATACATGTAGAAGTACTTTGCCTGCTGAGAACCTCATACTCTTGCTTGACTTTCTTGGTGATCTCTTCTTAGGCTCTCGAATTGCCAGTTGGCTGCCCAGTTTTTCAGTAGAAGTGATGCACACGACCAACATCCTCGGTATCACACAAGCCAGCAACTCCCAGCTTAATGCTATGGTAAGTCTGTTGTAGCAGTTTGCACCTCAGCCTTCCTATTTGTGTTATGTGGGGGGAAAGAGGCACGTGTAGGTGGAGAACATAAGGGGGAGGGAAGTCAAAACAGTGTTTAGCTACCATGTGAATGCTGTTTTTTTGAGTGAGAGAAGCTTTGTTTTGGTGAAGGTGGAGCTGTATGTCAGTTCAAACATGCTTCGGTAAAGGAGCAGGTCTGGAAACTGAGAGAGAAGAATTCCATGTACTGTCTGTGTAGACAGGCAGACCTTTTCTCAGCTTGCTTTGTGCAACTGCTTTAGCTGTTTTTCAGTGCTTCCCTTCACTCACAACTTGCAGTAGCAAAGGGTGTGAGTCTGTAACCAGAGAATTTAGCTGTTGTTCCAGTGGGAACTGATCAAATCCATTCTATGGCTTTTGCTTTTTTTTTTGGTGTTTATTTGTAATAGCACTGAGCTCCCAGACAGCTGTTTGTGTTTGAGCACATTGTCAGTGTGAGCTGGGGCTCTCTGTAGCACTGTCAGCTCTTGCTGATTCATGATGATGATAGGAGTGGTGAGGATGAAATCCCAGGTTTGTTGACTTCATCCCTAAACTGCCTGATGTAGTACAAAAAGAGAAGGATGTGGCCTCCTGGGACACACTTAGTTCATTTAGTTTGAGAAGTGCTGTTTGCTTTGAGTTCTGAAAGCTGCTTTGTGCTGTAGCATGGTAAGAAGTGTTCAGTGAGGTGTGAGATCTCTCCCATAGCTATCGCTACTGTTTGTCTCGACAGGATGACACCGCAGTTTTTAGGGGGTTTGAGGCAGAGTGGGCAGGGAGTGGTGAGGTGTTGGCACTTGATTTATGAGTTAAATATGCAGCAGCTCTGCATCCAGGGTCAGTTGAGTTTTTCTTTTACTGGACACAGTGACACCAACGGGTTTTGTTAAGGGTAAGTAATGATTTCTTAGCACTGTGTATTATTAGAAGTGCAATAGCAACTTATATTAAAATTCTTACTTTAATGGAAAGGACCAGGTTAGTAAACTATTGAAGTGTCACACATCTTTAATAGGAAGTAAGTTAAAATCTCCTTTGTGTTACTGAATAAAAAACAAGGGGAGTATTTTGAGGGGAAGGCCAGAGGCTGAAATGCTACAGGAGTGGTTTTGGTCACAGGTCAGTACAATGCAGAGTTAGGTTTGCTGCAGTGGCTTGTGTTTGAACTCGCTGTCAGCTGGTGTGTAGTTCTTGCTTTGCTCTCTAAACCCCTTCCATCCTTCTTTTCTTACTGTCACTCTCGTTCCTCCCTCTGTCCCCTGTAACTTTCAGCCTTAGTTAAAACATAGATTTTAATATTTAATGAAATCTAGCTGTTGGACTCTAAAAGCATGTTATTTGTCTGCCCTCTTACTTTTATCTCTTGAATTTCGATATTATGCAAGTTACTTGAATTTCAATAATAACAGTTCCCTGACAACTCAGTTCAATCTCTTTGAGTTTTCAGACCCTATTAAAATGGTTTCTAGGCAGGGTGGCTGGAGAGAGGAGGTTATTAAAACTTATTCCACTTGTCCTTACCAAAACCATTTTGGAGCCAATCTGGGACAAAGGAAAATGATGATTTTGTTTTTCAGTGGTGTTCCAGCTTTCAGTCACTGATGTGAATTTTGTATAGATCTTTATTCAGTGTCATAAAAGAGGACTGGGAAGCTTTTGAAGGCTTCATGCATCTACAAGCACGTTTGAGGAACCCAAATTTTCAGGATCATGTGGTGCCTCCACAGGAGTTGCAGTTTTGCTGTTGGCTTCAACGGAGTCAAAATATTGCCCTGGCAGTCAGTGCCAGCGCTGGATTTCTTTCTCTTGTTTTTCTTTTTGCGTGTGGGTTATTATGTCATAAACAGCATCTTGGAGCTGTTCATTTTTATTTTTTTTTTAAATCTCTTTCTGTGGAGATGCTCTACCAGCCAACTGCTTGCTATGTACTGCTGATCCTGACAGCATAAAACTTGTTTTCTCCAGGCTCATCAGATCCAGGAGATGTTCCCTCAGGTTCCTTATCATTTAGTTCTACAGGACTTGCAGCTCACTCGTTCTGTAGAGATCACCACTGACAACATCCTAGAAGGGCGCATCCAGGTACCTTTCCCCACACAGGTGAGTCATAAGGCTGTGCAGCTCAAATGGCTGATTTCCTGCTTACACAGAACTGAGCTTGTTAATAATGAGTGAGGGGAAGCACTGGTGAATCCAGCTTAGGTCAATGCACTATTATTCTTCGAGTTTTACCTTTAGGAAGATGTTGCAGTTGGAAGCACCAGACCAGTTTTGACAGTCTGTTGTATATCTCCATGTTACAACATCTGACTCATTGGGGTGTCTCACAGGGGTGTGTGATTGAGGTATATGCATCTGTTCCTTGCTGTGGCCCTTAGAAGAAGGCCTTTTCACCTATTAGGATGGGTCTCAGGTGTACTGTAGCATTATTCATTTGTAACACAGGGTATTTTCTTTATGAAGGAAAGTTGGAGCCCATTACCCATGCTCTGTAGCTTACCCCTGATGTGATGTGACTGTAGGATGCATGAAGTGCTTGCCTGTACAGTCTCAAAGTGCCAAATTCTGGTAAAAAATTCTAGTAAAAAAAAAACTTCAGGAATTTTTTGGTTTGTTTAAATCTCTTTAAGTGCAGTATATTCAGTCATGTTCCAAAAATATATTGAAAATGTTCTAGTTAGACTAGAGACAAACATTTGCTTAGTTAAAGCAGCTCTTCTCGGTTGCTCTTGTGCAGAGCATTTTGAACATTTCCAGTTGATTTCTCTGCTGACAGATAATTGAATTGTACCACTTAGGAAGGTTTTCTGCAAAGAAAGTAGCCGGCAAAATGATGCCTTGTTCTTAATTAGTGATAGCAGATTTCAGTAAAGCAGTCTGGGGACAATGTTTCTGTTAATAAGAATATTGAATTCTGGTTCTGTGCACGTCAGATAGTACTGTTATCAGAGGCTGCGTGTGGGGAAGCAGAGAGAATTCGCTTTCAGCACAGTGCATTCTGTTTATTGCTAACTTATCTGTTTCTAAATTGAACATAACACGTGACGTTGCAGAGGGCAGAGTTTGAATGTGTTCAGAGAACTTGGTTTTGTTTTTGCCATTTCACGCACTGTATTAAACCCCTGATGTTTGCATTTCAGCGTGCAGATAGCATTAGACCTGCATTGAACAGTTCTGTGGAACGGCACAGTACTGATCAGGAGGATACTGAAACTGTCACCCAGGTAATTTGGCATAAAAATGGGCAAAAAACAGAATTAAGAGCTGCAAAGACAGATAAGTGCATTTGTTTCCAGGTCAGGTTGATGGCAGCCCTTCCTTGAATTTCACACCAGAACTAACACTGTCAGGCAACTGAAGTAAGCTTCAGCGTGGTGCTCCTCTAAAGAATTATCTGTGTGTGCTTTTCTTTTTCCTCCTTGAAGGAAAGCGCCCTCAAGTGATACAAGGAACAGAAGAAAAATAATGTCTGTGTTCACATCTAGTCAGGCCCGTGCCCATCTGTGCAATATGAAGAGCAGGATGCTTCCCCTTCCTCTTCCCATTCCCATTCTGTACATCTCCAGACACTTCCCTTAAAATGAGTAGTATTTCTCTTCTGAGAATCCTTTTGTGTTCTAGAGGAAGCACTTGGAGAGACGGGGAGCTTTGGTGTGAATGGAGTGGGATACAAAGAGGACCAAGAGATAACAGTCATTTTACACATAAAGCACAATCATGTGTTTTGCTGTTCTTCACTGAGGGCTTTATTAAGCAGCAGGAGCCAGCTAAAATGGAACAGGAACTAAAAGAATATAGCCTGCATGTAGCATAAAGTCTCATTCCACTTTTGTTTTCCCTGACTAGTAGCAAAATCATGAGAGTTTCTGGTTTATAAAGCTCTCTTTATAAAAATGTTCTCAATCTTCTTGCCAGACGAATATGTTGCTGTAGTCAGTCAAACTCTTGTCTGTGTGGAAAGGTCTAGCAGCAAATGAGCTACTTCAGCCGATTGCGCTTGATTTTTAAGAAGCTTTTTAAACGCAAGTGGGAAGGGACATAAGAAGCCATCATTGGCTCCTCTGGGTGAGACTTGAATTTCCAAATAGTGGAAAAATGTCACTTCACACCTTATGACACAGTCCCTGTGGCAGCCCTGTTTGCTTTGTGCTGCAGCCTTACAGTAAATTTTTATAAGCTTTCCATCTCTTTTCTTCTTTTTTTGAAATCAATGTACCCACTGAGAATCTTGATAGATCTCCATCAGCAAGTGGCAGACCCGTTGGAGTTCTGCTTGTTGGAAATAACATTTCTCAGGGGAGCTAATAAATAAAATAAAATAAAAGCACCCTTCTTCATGAGTAACATAGATTTTCCTCTGTGCCATACATCATATTATGACTTAAGATCTTTGAATTCTAGATAGAATTAAGATAATGATTGATTTTTTGGGGGGTTTGGTTTTTTTCCCCAAAAAATGAGGAAAAAAACAAATGGGATTGGGATATCAGTGCTGACATAACATAAGGGTAGTTCAGAGACATCTCTGAACACCATCATGGTATAAAACATGTTAAAGGTTTCTGAGATAAT